AAAGAGGGAACAAGATGGGAACCTATCATAGAAGTCCTCTAAAAGACTCGACCCAGCAGGGGATTGAAGCAGATGCAGAGAGATTCACAGCCAAGCTTTGGACAGAGCACAAGGAGTCTTAGGGAGGAAGGGGAATATAGAAGGACACAAAAGGGACAGGAGCCCCACAAGGAGACCAACAAAGCTGAAAACAGCTGGGCCCATGGGAACTGCAGAGAGAGATACATCAACCAAAGACCATGAATAGAGAGGAACTAGGCCCCATACTCAGACGTAGCCCATAGACACCTCAGTCTCCATACGGGTTCCCTACTAAGTGGAGAAGAGACAGTCTCTGATATTAATATCGGTTGTCTGTTCCTTGATCACTTTGCCCTGGTGAAGCGACCTAGCCAGACTACAGAGGAAGAGGATCTAGGCAGTACTGATGGGACTTGATAGGCTAGGGTCAGACAGTAGGGGAGGAAGACTCCCCTTATCAGTGAACTAGGGAAGAGGGATAGGGGATAAAGAGGGAGGGAGGGTGGGAACTGGAGGAGCTGAGGGAGGGGGCTACAACCAGGACACAAAGTAAAGAGTTGTAAAAAAATTATAATAATAAAAAAGAAAAGTAGCAAAGCTTGATAATGAGTCACAGCAGGAGGGGCTGGCATAAAGGTTCAGTGGATAAAGTTCTTGTCACATGAACATGAGGACTGGCGTTTGTATCTCTAGCTACTGTATAAAACCTTGACAATTGTAGTAGGCAAAGAAAAGGGATCCCTGAGAGAGATGGCTAGCTAGAGTAGCTGGGACCCACAAATCCTGGCTTCATCAAGAGACCCAGGCACAGTACATAAGATGGAGAATGATTGGAGAGAGACTGAGGAAGACACCTGCTGTCAACTTCTGACCTCTATTCAGTTGTATACAACACACAGGTACACATTCCCACACTTACATCACACACACACAATCACACACACATTTACACACATATATAAAACTCTTTAATAAAAATGCTATGGAGGTCTGGAGAGATGGCTCGGCCTTTAAGAGCAAGTACTGCTCTTACAACAGACCCAATTCCAATTCTAAGCACCACATTCATTGTTCCACCCTCACCTGAAACTCCAGCTCCTATCAATCTGAGGCCCCTTTCTGGACTTTGTGGGAACAATCATTTGCATATGCTTCCCCCATCTACACAACTAAAAAGAAAAGAGATGATTTTGTTAAGAGTCATAGCATTAGGGAATGGATGATAGCAAGATTAGAGTGGTGCCTAGAGAGAGAGCTTATCCCAAGCCTCTCACTATCCCCACAGCAACTGCCCCCCACAGCAGCCCTGGAAAGGCATAGTATTATCCTGAATTGCTCAGGAGAGGAACCGGCAGTGCAGAGAAGTTAGCTAACTCACTATATCAAGGATCTGGGCAGCAGAGAATTGGTTTTGTGTGAGTCTAAACTTCTGCTCTTTCCAAAGGTGCTCTGTCACCTTCTTCAACACACCAGTGAAACATAAACTCTGCTATGTACTTTCCAGGAGGCTTTTATAGTAAGGCACAGGGATATGTTTGATGTTCAAGAAAACAGGGATCTACTTGTGGTGTCTGAAGAGTTGTGCCATGAAGAGGGGGATATTTTAGAATGATGAGTGTCATTTTCACCCAAGGATGCATTTTCTTCAGAATAGAAAGCCAACTTATAAATGAGTACCTATTGATCATGAAGAGAGTCTTTCCATTGGCTTTTATCAAGTGCTTTGCCTTTCTCCCTCTTAAGAAGCCTGTAGCAATTTTAAAAAAGTATGCTCAGTCAAATTGTTTTTGTTTTTTCCTGGTCCTGTGTGCTTGCTAAGTTCTTCACGCCAACAATAAAGCATTGATCAATTCACAGCCAGAGTACAAATGCTGTTATAAGAAACCTTGATTTTTTTTTAATGCTAAAACTACATATTTCAGTTTAGTGTGTTTTGTTCATTTGCTTGTCCTAAGTGGTACCAATAAGAACATCACTTCTGGAGCTTCAGAGTTTACCTTACTGTGTGTGTAGTTTTCATCTTTCTCCCCGGTTAGGCCTCGAGTAAAGAAAAATTCCTACTAAAAGAAAGGTGAAAACCATGAGAAGTAAAATTTATATGCCTATTTAGTGCAAATGAACTACTTTTCACAGACCTTGCTTATTGTAGTCAGAAAATGTATCGACTGGGGAGCAATGAAGTTGGATGGGTTCTTTATGGTTTCTCACTTTGTCTGAGCACCTATGATGGTACGATAAAGTCTCTTTGTTTTTTCTATGACTTGAGTGTACTCTATATTTGGATCAGAAAAGACCACTGCCTTCCCCAAACCCTAAGCCTTCTGGTTCCTTCTTTACACATCACCTTGCAAAAATAGATGAATTTTCACAGTCATTCCTACCTCCATGTTCTTACAGACTACTTGATGAGTTTTCAATGTCAATGACCATGTACCAGCTTGCTATTCCGCTTATGTCTGTACTCCTTCCAAGTGTTCTTCCTGTTGGATGTCCACAGAGTGAGTTCATCACAGCTCAGCTTCTGTAAACCTGAGCATGATCACAGCAAGCAAATCTACATAGTAGATCCTGATCAAAAAATATAGAGACTTGAATTAGAGAAAACAAGTGTCCGAAAGAACACTTGTTCTTTGTTTCTCTGCCTTGGTGGTATGCTACCTGGCCCTGAAAGACCCGAGTTCCCACCAATCATGGCAATGACACTGGAGCTCACTCCAGAAACATCTGTCCAAAGCTAATTTATTTCCTAATGCTGAGGCACTGTTAATTTATAAATTACACTGGTAATTTGAGCTATTATTAATTTCAGATGGTGTAGGGCAAGCCTAATTAAAATATGACACCAATTGCCACACATATGTACCAAGGACTAACATTTAAAATTAATGGGAATATTAAGTGTGACACTGGTCTCAGAGATGTTTTGCACAGTAATTATAACATTCTAGTGCAAAAAGATCTGACAAATGTTGGCCTGGAGTTGGTAGTAAATAAACAACAGCCATGCAAGAGGAATCACAATTTCTTCACTAGAATCCCTTCTCATTTCCTCTACCCTTCCTCAAACCAACGTTCTAAAGGGTATATTACTCTGAAACATTAACACTGACACAGTGTTCTTACAGCTGTTGCTTGAGTTTTGGGTGTTCAACATGATAGTCTTGTGTGTTGGGCTGTGAACCCTGTTTTCTACTTAGTATACCCTTGCTTCTTCTTGTGATGAAATGTTCCTTGTGCACTTCTCCTTCAAAGAGAATAGAAGAAAATGTTGATACTCATGTAGTGCAGATTCCATAAGGCCTAAATATATATACAAGAGTGCTCTGGGTCAGTATGGTGTTGCTGGATGGTGGCACAAACTTATCATGGCTAAAACATTGCAGGAGAGTGGACAGTAGTACTCCATTATATGACTATGGAACATTATTGTTGCTGCTGCTGTTGCTATTGTTGCCGTGACAAGAACGAGGGCAACACTGTCACATACAGCTACAGCTTACATGCCATGTACATAAATTTCCTTATTACACTAATTTCTTAGTTATTGTCTTTATGCTCTGGAGAGATTCTATGACCTGGATCCAAGAGTGTCTTTTCCATTTCTGGGGCTGCCTGCATGAAGGCAGCTTCATGTCACCTCCCTCTGTGCCTTTCAGAAGCATTTAGGATTAACCACACCACCAGGTGGAGAGCACATGAGAGTTTCCCAGTGCTTTCGTGTCCTTTATATTTGTTGCTCTCAGTAACTCCTTGAGACAGCGGGCCTGTTTTGTGTGTCACATCTAGAAAAGTGTTTCTCCTTTTCTAGGGTTGATGCCAGTTTCCTTTTGTTGTCACAGAATTAAGCACAATGCCTTTTCTGCTTACTTTTTACAATATCATACCTTGGGATGTTGTCATTCTCATTATCCCCATTGAACACACAAGGAAGGATAATCCCAGAAGGTAAACAGCATTTTCCTTCTTTATTTCCTTTTGTCAGGGAAACTAAGGCACAGGGCAGCTTCTAGGCAGAATTTGGAAACTTAGATTCTCTAAGTATCTTGGGCTTCACCAAATGTGGCACATGCTTGTAATCTGATCACTGGGGAGGCAGAGACAAGCTCAGGTGTGCAATGTCTAAGCAACTTAGTGAGTCTGAGGCCAGCCTGTGTTTATATGAGACCATGCCTCAAAAGGGTACTGGGGCATAGTCTTGGCATAACTGGATGTTCATGGCTGTATATCACGTCTAGAATGTGGTATGGTTAGGGCGGTGTTATTAAAATAATTTTTCACTAGGAAAGTAAAATCAAATTTTTGAATGCTTAAGTGATAGGGAAAGATTTGTAGTCGTGAATTCTTATTCTCTACTTTCTGTTCTTCTTGTGATTGGACATCATATGTTGGTCTTGATGATGGTTTGTTCTTTGGGTTTTATGCCTAAGAGTTTGCTCCAGGAGATTAATGTCTAGAAAATTGGTATCTGCTTATCTGTTTGTTCTTCTAATATGAAAACAAAAGTATTTAAATTGTATCTATCTTACCACTGATGTATCTATGTATAATTGTGTGTGTGTGTGTGTGTGTGTGTGTGTGTGTGTGTGTGTGTGTGTGTGAAACCTTTATGCAGTATCCGAAGTTGATTCATGCCCAGGCCTGCAGTGAACAGCTTAGCATCAGAGACTCACTTTAAACAGTGCCTGGAGGTCAGAAAGAGTTAAGGAGCCTGATCCAAGCCCGGAGCTGGACCACATGGTAAGATCCCAACAGTGTAAATGTCAAAATTATAAATCACTTATGGAGACCCAGTTAACTCTCTCTCCATACATGAGTTTAGGAGGAGCACAAACACTGCAGCTGGAACACTGAAGAGCCAAGAAAAAGAGGGTGTGACAGCAGGGAAAGAAACACTGACTAGAGACTCCTACTTCTTTGTTTTCTAATGAGTGTCCTCAGCGTTGTCCTCCCCCTTTACTCTACCTCTCTTTCTCCTGTAGCTGTGGGCTTCGTGAGTGAAGATGAGTATCTGGAAATTCAAGGCATCACTCGGGAGCAGTCAGGGGACTACGAGTGCAGCGCCTCCAACGATGTGGCTGCTCCAGTGGTACGAAGAGTGAAGGTCACCGTGAACTGTGAGTGGCCTTGCCTGTCCCCACTGTGTGCAAGTGGGAGGGTTGCCCGCTCTCAAGGCTGCACCCTCTCACTGAGTGGGTGTGTGAGGGTGGCCCACTATCAAAGATGCAATAATAATCCAGCCTTCCGAGTGACAGAAAAGATCCAGTGTCACTTTTTGTTCTCTGCTTTCAAGAGCTAAGAGCGCAAAAGTCCAAGAGTCCAAAGTCATCTGTTTTGTTTTGTTTTGTTTTGTTTTGTTTTGTTTTGTTTTGTTTTGTTTTGTTTTGTTTTGTTTTGCTTTGTTTTTGTGTTCACAAGGCCAGGCATCACCCTTCTTTTTTAAATGTAGCTGAGAGTAACTTTATATAAGACCAAACTTTCACATACGGCTAGCAAATCAATAAATGGCACTGAATGCATACTTTCTGTAAACGTATTTTAAACTCCGGAGTTTTTCTGTAATTTTCTCGCATGATGCAGTGGCAACCTTCACAGCTAGATACTCCCAGTGTGGCAGAGAGACCTGAGCTAGAGCAAATGCTCCCGCTGCGTGTGCTGTGCTCTTGGTGTCTCAGCCCTTCGTACTGAAGATACTGATCTACACAGAGTGCAGAATACACACATAATGTAAATATAAGTAGATACAAACACAGGAGTTTTGAGGGTATAGCTCAATACTTTTTAAAAAAATTTTAGTTAATAGAAGTGAAATTCAAGAATCTTTGAAGGCCAGTTGTGTGAAAACTTCATTCTCCTTTTATCAGTCTTCTAAATTCTCCCTGGCATTGATCTGCAAGAATTTTCTACCAATTTCTCACTCTTTTCCCTCTGGGTTGGTTCCTTGCTATGTGTGTTGACTTGGTTCCCTATGACTTGTGGAAGGCTTTGGCTTGTGACAGAATATAACTCAGGATATAAACAAGCAGCATAGAGGCCTCTACCCTTCCAAATGGGCAAGATGGGTGAGGGGAAGGATATTGTATTGAGATTTACACTCCATGTTTGGTCTCTTGATTTGTGCTCCAGTTTGAATCTAGATAGCGTGAAATACTTTAAGTAGTAAAGATAAGATAATGCTCCCATGTTTCCCTATTATTTAAGCTTTATTTTTAAGGAAACTTAAGATTATTTACAATTGTTGACAATGAACTTAAAATTTTAAAAAGCAGAAGCAAAGGAAAAAATTATTATAGAAATTAGTAAAAGGGATAAGTCAGCCCTTGAAATATGAAATATAAAGCAGCAGGCTTCAGGGTTCACATTCACAATCTGCCTTTACAATGCTAAAGCAGAAGAAATGTCATTTGTTCCAAGATGGACATCATCTGCAAGATAAAAGCAAGTGATTTTCTAAGGAGAAACTTTGCTTTTCCTGGTAGTGTGACCCCAGAGAAAATTCTTTCCAGGTTCTGTGTAAACTGACACTTTCCGATACAGTCCACAAATCATGCACAATGCCGCTGCATCAAACAGAACAGTAATTTCAGCTTGCCTGATTTTTTTGTTTTGTTTTGTTTTGGTTTTGGTTTTTTGTTTTTTTAATACTCATCAGTGCAAACTTCTGGGATGCCACAGGTCGCTGAGAGAAGACTTCAAATGATTGCAGACCCAGCAAGGAGGTCTAGTTTAGCATGGGATCCATTTCAGAATGCCCATGGGAAGGACCAGTCTGTATATCCTTCAGGCAATTCTCCATGAATATTATTAGTTATAACTGAGTCTTAGGTGGGAATTGAATAGTTTGAAGGCATACACTTTGGCAAGAACCTGGTGTGCAGAAATTCTATGAGGATGATTAAAGGTGCCGACTGCCATCCCACAGAGTATAAGGCTGATGGGTGGGTGTCAACCTAGAAAGTTAAAAGGCTTAAACAGGCACTGTACCTCACGAACTGACCACTCCATCTCAGTACCGAGAGGAGAAACAATGCGTGCTGAAAGACAATGTCTTCCTTTAGAGCAGCACCCAGATCATTTTTATTCTCTGCAATAATCCATATAGCAGTCTAATGGTACAAACCAGCAGAAGTAGAGCAGAGTAAAAAAACAAAATCTACGAATGAACCAGGTTTTTTCTTTTCTTTTCTTTTTTTTTTTTTTATTTTCAACTGTACTCTTAAATGGCATGGACCATCTTCTTTCTGTAGATCCCCCGTACATCTCAGAAGCAAAGGGCACAGGTGTCCCAGTGGGGCAGAAGGGGACTCTGCAGTGTGAAGCCTCGGCGGTCCCTTCAGCGGAATTCCAGTGGTTCAAGGATGACAAAAGGTATGGTCCTCTCTCTCACCAAACTCCCTCGAGATTCCTGATCATAGATAGTCGAAATCTAATCCCTGGGAAATTCTCTCCTGACATCCTATGGGGTGTGGCATGCAAGGAATTCTTTTGTAAATTAAAAGAAAAGTTCATCTAGGCTTTCGATGTCATCTTCTATGTTATTGCTCACCAACCAGCAGGACTGAAAGATAATATAATTCAACCAAGCAAAAAATCAGAAAACAAAAGCTACCAACAACATTGTAAGCCCTGTGATTTTTTTTTTTTTTTTTTTACAGGCTATGAAAATAATGTGTTCTGCAGAAAGGTATTTTTAACACTTTCCCAGGCCTAAGAAATTCTGTCTGCCCCTAGGAGGGGCTCTCAAGTTGCCTGCCCATCCTAGGTCTCCACTTCCCTATCTGAGGTTATCAGCACTGCTATGTAGGAGCCGGTGACCTTTCTGCACCCTTCCTTTCTGGGCAGGTTGTCCTTTCTCTGTAGGAGAAAAGAGTCAGGACTGTTCTCTTCCTTCCCATTGTCGCAGCCGTCACTGGGACATTTGTTGTGAGTCACTGAAGATGATCATTTGGAGGAGTTATCAAATTGCATGTCAGCGCAGGGGTCAGCAGCTCAGTACAGCCAGGCAACATGACAATTACCACTATCAAAGAGCTATTTGAAGGTGGATGAACAACAAATAAATGTGTAAGCTCTGTCTGTGTTCAGAATATTTTCATAAAAGTAGAGGCAGTGGTGCTGGAGCTACAGCAGAGTCCTGTGAGATCTGTGGGTGGACGAGCAAAGAGTGAAGGAGACTGGGGACTAAAAACACAAAGTCTGGAAAGAGCAGCAGGAGGCATCCCGGTAAAGAGTTGTCTTACTACAGGGGTCGTGGTCGCTGTACAGTTTTTTTCCCCCTCATTCAGTCACTAAGGCTTCACCACATTGTCTAGTTCCTCAGTCAGTAAACTACCTAGACCCAAGACACTTCATCATAAAATACACATCCAGGGAAGAACACTGCCTGTCATGTTAGGACACATCCCGGCAGCCTCTCGTGAGGTATGGTCTAGGCACTCTCACCCCATTTTATAAATGGAAGAACTAAGAAAGAAAGAAGTGAACAAATTCCCTGAAGTAATATATGGAGTTGGCTATTTCCCCTCATTTGAGAAGTCATAAATCCTTCTTTTCCACCACCAGTCTTACTGAAATAAAGAGAAACTGAGGCTTAGAATTCCAAAACCTAAAAGGCCCCTCCATATAGATAGAGAGATGATAGATAGATAGATAGATAGATAGATAGATAGATAGATATGCCTGTTTGTGAACACTATCGAAGTCTTAGTGAAAATCAATCCACTGCACTCTACTATTGAAATTCTTGATGAAAAAAAAAATATAGAAACAAAATATAACAGAAAAACAAGCTCTCAAAATGTGTGAAGAAAATACAACAAAAAATATGTTTTGAAGCAAAGGAGGGGAGAGCAGTCCCTTGCATAGCACCAGTCCAAGCAGGGGCCACCATGTATGTCATCATTTATCCCCAGTGCTGCCTAGGAGGCGCTGGTCCAGGCAGCATTGTGCTCTCCTTAAAATCCCTTTATAGCTTTTCCTTTGCTTCTTCCCATTGATATCTCTATATCCATTTATTCATTTGCTCCTTTATTCACTTGCTCATTGATTCATGTCCAATGCTCTCCCACTGAGTAGGTATCTTTGTCTTCCCAGGAACCAGCATCCCAGCAACATTTCTACCATGGGGTCCTTGCCAAAGCTTTTCTTCTTTGTGCCACTGAGGCTACAAGGCTACCATGGCCTCAGGTCTCAGGTGGAATATGACACATGTCCCAGTAAATGATAACTGATGTCCATTTCATTTTCACTGACATGAGCAGAATTCAGCCACAAAGAGAAGAGTCTCTGGCAGGGATAGGCAGTTTTCTATACTTCTTTGGGGGCTTGGCCATACTGGTGTTTTTGCTTCCTCACCCTGTGTCTGCTGTCAGTCAAAGGCAGGGGAAATGGAGTTCTCTACTTGGAAAACCCTGACCACCTAGTCTGGAGAGGAGCCACTGAAGGGCCTACAGCTTCTGCTGACATGGGTAGCAGTAGGGGGTAGGGGATCTGTGAGTGCCTGAGAAGGGAAATGTGTTTCATCCCGGGAGTGTGAAGTGCTGCAAAGTGCTGCTGGCCATCCTGCACTGTGTTTAGCTAAAGACATTTCAGATCTGTCAAGCAAGAACCTGCTTTGGGTAAACCTCTTCCCTCTATGGAGGCAAAATCCAATTCACAGCTTGGTTCTGATGTGAACACTTCTTCCCTTTCGGAGAGCACTGCCAAACCGGAAAGTGGAATCCACACCCTCGCATCTCACAGAAGCCTCCTCATGGTGGCTCGAGAGCCTTGGACAACACCCCTTACAAGATGAACTTGTATGTAATAATCTGGAGCTAGAACAGTGGCCTCTGGTCCCATTGCAGGTGTCATCATACCATTCCAAAGAGCCAAAGGGCCTTTCAGTGAGGACTGCAGACTCAACCAGTTCACTACTGCCCTTAGCTTTTGGGAAAGAAAGACACCTAAAGGAAAATCTCTCTATACTACAAAGCTAAGCAAGCCCCCTGAGCCCATCAGCTGACTTCCCCAGAAGCTAACATGGCCAGGAAAGACTGTTCCAGAAAGATCCTCTGAGATACTCTGGGAAGGTTGCTCTTCCCAGTCCCATGTAAGCATATAGTTCAATTGTGTAGAATGAGTAATTATCATGATGGTGTCATTGAGGCAGAGGGGAAGATATCATTAATTCCAGACTCTTTTTATTCTATGAAAAAAAAATGATTATGGTTCTTATTTTTTTTTTTCCTTCACCTGTCTTCCCTTTTCTGTTCCTTGTTTGCCTAGACTGGTTGAAGGAAAGAAGGGAGTCAAAGTGGAAAACAGACCTTTCCTCTCAAAACTCATCTTTTTCAACGTCTCTGAACATGACTACGGGAACTACACGTGTGTAGCCTCTAACAAGTTGGGCCACACCAATGCCAGCATCATGCTATTTGGTGAGACCCTGCGCTGAGATGGGCAACAAGGGAGGGTGAGATGGGGAAGGGTTAATGGAGAGAAAGAAGGTATAGAGGAAAAGTATCAGAAGTGAGCCAGGTAACGCAAGCCAAAGAATAAGGAAAGAAAGAGAGGGCACTCATGCATGTAAGAATGTAGGCCTCTGAGGGGGGAAAAGAAAAACAGAATATTCATTTATCTAAAATAACAAAAGTCCTGAAACAGGAGAAAAGGTAGTTGCCAAAAATGACTTTTTTTCCCCTCCTCAGTAATGTCGCCAAAACTGACTCAGGGATTATAATTGAACAAAATAGTTCAGATCTCAGAGAGGAGCATGTACAGCTTCAGTCCTTTGCTCACTGGGCTAAATAGCACATTCCCTTTTCTGAAACTTTTCCAGCCATTGGCACATAAGAAAAACTGAATAACATTCATAAGAGCAGAATCACAGCCCTTGGAATCCTTAATAATATTCATTTCAGAGACGGGCAGATATAAAGAAGACAGAAAATGGGATTTTCCAAGTTCTCTATTTGTGCCAATGGCTGGTAAAGACATTTGCCCATCCTCACCATCATCTTGAAAGATGTCGTATCATTGTTCATGCACCAATTCCTTAACTCTTTATGGAGGGACTCATTTTATAAAGCATTTTTTTTTCTGCTCTCATTTCATGCCTAGCCACTGATAGTGTTGGTGGCAGAAACAGTAAGCAAGCTTCTTGGAAAGCACTGGATGCCTCCATCCTGTGAGCAATGTCTGTAGGAGTGAGCATACATGCCTATCTATCAGCAGGAGCCATTTCAGATGCCTGTCCATGGCTTTAAAGCCTTAATGGGTGCAGGTACTTCCTACAGGCCATGTGATGAATTTCTGATTTCCTTTTGAGCACATTTCTCCATACCCAACCAAGTTCAATGACTGTCAAAATTTTCCAATCAGTTTCTTCCATCCCCTGTGTTAAAAATCCACCTGAGTATGGTAGAAATGGGGGTGGGGGGGGAGATGTGAACATAAATTCTTGCTGTTCTGAGACCTGTTAGGTAGTCTCACAGCCTCAGCCTCGAGGGTTCCAATCTGCATGCTGCCCCTGGCACATACCATTGGTGCTAACAACATATGTTCTGTGGTGCCATCTCTGCTTCCAAATCACATTCTCCCGACCTCCTACTCAGCATATGAAACATAGCCCAGCACCCAGCTTTAGCTGAGAGAGCTGGGAAAGGGAAGGTAATGTTTGATCTTAGAACACATGGCTCAGAAGAGGCAAGCTGTGAGTAGAGTGACTGAGAACGCTTACAGGATCAACAAGGATAGTCATAAGCATTCTCCCATGAACAGGGATAGCCATGTGTCTCTCTTGTGCATGGAGATCATCATAACTGCCTTTTTGTGCATGGGGATAGTCCTAAGAGTTCTCCCATATATAAGGAGAGTCAGATGTGTCCCTCTTGTGCATGTGGATAGTCATAAGTGTCCCCTTTATCTGTCAGGCCTTTAGGGGTTTATGGAAGATCTCTGCCTATATGAACAGAGGATAGAATTAGAAAGGGGCAGGCCTATGTTCCCTTGCCTTGAAAATCTAAGGCTCATCCATAATCTACAGTGTTTCCCTTAGCACCCTCCCACATACTGCTCTTTGGCCACAGCCATCCTCGTTCTTGGAAATAGTCGTCCCCCTCCTTAAAACCCCTCTGTGTTCTAAGATGGAAACAGAAATGGTGTCTCCATTAACTTCTTCACTATTAACTCCCTAGCCCTCTTCTCTCAATATATATCAGAATGAGAATAGGGGTAAAAAGAGTAAAAGAGCTGGCATTTGTGACAAGAAAATCAGTGACACATGGGCCATAAATCCACTCTTTTCAGCAGACTCATATGTGTCACTTACAGCTTTGTTTGCCCTGCCTTCCCACCACTGATAAGAGAGCACATACCCTCTGCCTTCTTTGAGATATTTTTGTCATTGTCAGATTCCTAGATTCTAGGGTTTGCTAAATGTCCTTTGCAAATAAGTGGAGAAGGCCTGTGTTAACCAAAGATGAATGAGGTCCATGTGGGGATTCTCCTTAATGGTCTCCAGATCTGTAACAAAATTTCTAAGAGGGAGTGGCAAGCTTGCAGCCTCTTTCAAATTCAGCCTTTTGGAAATCAATTTCATTTGTTAGCTTCATTTGAGAGACTATTCTTGAGGAGCCCATTACACAAGTATTGCATGGGTGCCATTCTTCCATGGAACTGGTGAAACCTCGACCATGTTTAAAATGAGCCTTTTCAATCCCTCTTCTCCAGCCAGGTCTAGTCCAGACATTATTGTGGCTCCCAAATTCATAATTGAGGCTCACTATTAGTGAGGTCCATTGACAAATACAAATTTATTAAGGAATGTTCCATGTCATTTTCAGTAGGAGCCATCAAGGGCAGGTTGGACAATAGCACTTCTTTTGTGACTACAGAGCATCCGTGATTAAGTTCTTTCTCCAGCACCATTGAAGAAACCCAGCTAAATTGTTGTCATTTGTCATCAACTTGCACATACAGTATAAAAAGCTAGTCGTTCCAAGTCACACTAAAAAGTGAGGGGTTCTGATATTAAAAAACAAAACAAACAAACAAACAAAACTCCTATTGTTTGCATCTTGGGAGGTGTAAATTCTGAAGAGCAGGGTGGACCTTGCCATTACTGACCAATAAGGCTCTGAACCGCTGGTCTCTGGGACTATAGAGCCGACTGTGCAGTTTTGAGACCAGTGCTTCCATATCCCTGATCACAGTGGTACCAAGGGCCCTAACCCAATTCAGATCATGATACATTGATATCAGAAATTAGTGAATTCAGTCTTTATCTGTAAGACAATGGGGTGAAGATGTAGGAGGAAATTTTTCACCTGGAAAGGAATTTTGGTCCTTTCTTTACAGTCAGTTCCCAAGTAGCAAAGAATGAATTCATCTGCACTAGAAAATACATGGAGTTACCCCTGCCTGGCTTCCCACCATCCCACCCATGTAAAGGGACACAAAGCATTTCAATGTTTGTCTTGCTTCACCTTGTCCTATGGCCTTTGATTTGTGTCTTCCTTTATTTATCCTTTCCTCTAGAAATGCTTGTGAAAGGCAGTATACAAACTATATATGACAAATATATAGCGACTGTATATAATATATGTGTTTGTTTTCATTTTTCTCTCCTGTATGTCCCCCACCTGATTTAGAACTAAATGAGCCTACAAGCTCAACTTTGTTGCAAGGTCAGTATCCCTCTTGCCTTCTGTTTTCCCTCCCTTTTGCCTTCTGTTTTCCTTCCCTTTTCCTCAACCCCAAAGCCCTCACCCTCTCCTTCTCCCTCTCCCTGGTGTTGATTTCATGATATTTCTAGCAGCAAAGTTACTTCGAATGTGGCAGTGGAAGGCTATTGAAGGAGGCTCTTGGGAGCTGGTAAAATGCCACAAAAGCCTTTTTTTTCTCTGCTCATCCTTTGCACATACTGTCTAGGAAGGCTGAGATTAGTAAGGCAAATAAAACATTATTAAAATGCCAAACCCAGAAACCAGCATTCAGACAAAGGTTTGAAAAATGAAATTTGAACAAACGAGAAGACAATACAACCACTTACCACACTGATAGCCTGGTACCAAGCTATCTGAGTTTACATGAAGGGTTCTATTGCGGTCCCTCAGAGTCAGACTCAGGCAATAATTCACTGAATTCCAAACAGTCCAAGACACACATCACCATCACCTGGTCCACAAGTTTTTCAAGGAAGGCCTGGTGTTGCGAGTAGTGATCCAAGGTAGGGAACCAAGAAACCGTAGCTCACAGCTGACCTAAGATCTCAGTTCTTAGATAAGCCATGGAACCTTAGTTGGACTTCATTCCATCTTCCAGGAAGAGAGTAATCTACCCTTCAGAGATGTTCCAGTGTTCAGCTGAAGACACATACTTAAAATGCTCTTAAACACGTTAGCACATTTTGAGTCTCCAGATACAGGCTAAAAGCCAGGGACTTCCTCCATATGGGGCACGTTCCCTAGAGTCATTTCTTTTTGGTTTCTTCTCACCTGTCCCTTGACAACCCCCCTCCTACTCTCATCTCTTGCCCTTTGTGATTTGTGTAGCTCTTGGAACTTTGTGGATACTTGGTGTCTCTTACCGTTTCCTCCACTCACCCGGGTGAGTGATGTTACAAAGTCATCACCACATGTCACTGTCCTCTTCGGAGAGTAGTTTACTCACGGCCTCTCACATAGTAGGCAATGCTCTACCACTGAGTGATAGTCCTGGCCTTTGATGATAGTTTGAGCCCTACTTGTAACCCAATGCGGAAGCACCTAAAAACCTAAATGAAAGGCCTTTCCCTACCCTCAACACGATCTTCTGACATCCCTCATCCCACCCCTGCCCTGAATCCACCCTCTTCACCCATCTATATCCTAACTGTATGAACACTCACCAGAGGACAGCATTAGATCTGAGAGGTGGAGGGAAAGATAGAAGTTGGGGAGCTATGTTATAGATGAAGAAAATGGTTTTTTGTTTTGTTTTGTTTTGTTTTGTTTGTATCATAAAAGAGGCAGCACTGCATTATCCACCCTCCTGATACACACCACTGTGCTGATGAGTCAGAACAGGAAAATGAACTAAAGACCAGGGAAGGAAAAGGGGGTGGTCTCGGGATGTACTCAGACTCAACTTGTGACGCAACTGCTGCCTTTGGACTCCCAAGTGAGGCACCTTTCAGATCTAAAACTAAAGAGCATTAGAAAAGCACTAACGTCACTGAGAGAAAGGACAGATGCTGCCATGGTGCTTTCAGAAGTTATTAAGCTATTTCTGACCACTAGAACTACATTGTCAGAGGAAAGCAGAGCATTTCACATTCAGGGAGTGTTTATTTCACATTCAGAGAGTGGTTCCTAATAAGGAATTCCTAATTGAAGTTACATTCATTTGGCGGGGAGTCATCTGCCCACAATGAAGTCCTTTAGGATGAGACTAACAGAAGCAAAATAACAACAGAAAACTGAGAGGATCATCTGTCCTTGGTGCTGAGCTTAGGACCTGGAACAGGGAACTATACTGCCATGCCCCACTTGTTGAACAGGGCTGGGCTGCTTCACTGCCATGTTTCAGAGCTGATCAACAGGGGAGAAAGTTCTCTTCTCATTATTGTTTTCCCTCACCCCTTCATCTCAGAAGTCTCCTGTTGGGTGTAAGTAAGGGCAGACATTTTAAAATAGAGATGTCTGGGATGTGGCCTTCAGCATAGCCACTGGATTGGATTGTACTTTAGAAAAAGCAGACTTTTCACTTGAACATGTCCACTCGTTTATCTGTATTCACTTCCCCCTTGCCATGGCTAGTCTGGAACAGAATAGAAGAGATTGGTGTTTTCTCCAGAAATACCTCCAAGAGTTGCTAATCTTATGTGAGAAACACATACAGAAAGACTTATACAAATGTATGGGTTTCCACTGACAGGAAACCTTAGCCGTTAAAGAGGTTGGAGGCTTCCTTCACTGCCTAAAATCTGAATGGACGAGTAGGGTTTTGATAAGGGAATTTTGTTCATCCTCAGCATTTTTTACCACCCTTGACGTATTTCTCTGCCTCCCTTTTGCAAACACAATAGATTGCATGTCACCTTCCAGTATTAATATTTGGTGGTGCAGGACTCTCAAAGTGATAAATAAGGACTCTGGGCTGTGCCACCATCCCTCACAGAGCTTCTGCACGGGTAAGAGTGCAGGGCCCATGCTGCAAGCTCAGAGGCCCCACAGCTGCTCTCTTTTCATCTATTGGCCCTCTATCTTCAATCTGCTCAGATCTGATGATATTAGGCTCAGAAATGTAGCCTTGTTAATACCACTGCGCCTCACAATATTAAAGAATGGACAACAAATGCAAGTATCTCCTCCTAGATACCAGAAGGAGATGATCTGTTCTTCCTGCAGAGAATTTAAGAGAGTTAGGTAGGCCAACATACCAAGCAATCAAGCAGACAGCATTTCTATGGCATGCATATGAAAAAAAAAAGTTCATTATATTTTTTTCTAGAAGAATGGATTGAACACCCATATTCACCTAACAGCCCCTTTCCTCCTATAATATTTAGAAAGCAGCCCTGAGCTTACCTCAGTACGTAGGTCCAGGTGCTTTGCTGACATGATTATCATTTGTGAACTGAGCGGAAAAATGGAATACCACCTGGCTTATGGGGTTATGTTTCCTTTCTTCTTCTCTTCCATCCCTCATTTTCTTCTTTCTTCCTATTTTTCTTTTTCTTAAACTTCACCACCCCACTATGGTTTTTGCTGGATTTGTGTTAATAAATCATTAGCGAAGAGGACAGCTATGTTTTAATCAAGGTCTTATTGAAGAAAAATATTTAGATTGTCGGGAATAATTTATTTTTAATTTTAAAAATTGTATTTATATTTTATCTGTGTTTTTTGTCTGCTTGCATGTCTATTTGCCACATGCATGCCTTGTGATAGAAGATGTTGGAGTTATAGATTATATGTATCATATAGTTATAGGTTGTTGGAAAATCGAATCTGGATCCTTTGCAGCTTAGCCAGAGCTCTCCAGTGCCTTCTCTCCCTCTCTCTTTGTCTCTCTGACTTTGTCCCTAGATCTGTCTCCATCTCTATCTCTGTCTTTCTCTGTGTGTGTGTCTCTGTGTCTGTGTCTGCCTCTGACTCTGTCTCTCTCCTGATTGTCCTAGACCTCATTATGGAGAGTAGGCTGGCCTCATGCCCACAGAGATCTTCTTGTCTCTGCCTCCCAAGTGTTGGGATTAAAGGCATGTGTAATTGTGCTCAGCTTTTTTTCTTGCTAACTAAGATGTCACTTAATATCTAGAGCTTAAGGCTACCACTGGCTTCAGAAGTCCTGACAAGGTTCACACTTTCGGAAGGTAGACACAATGACAGAATGTCACCATGATAGAAAGGATGATGTCAACACTCCTGTAAATCTGCTTTATACTAGAACAAAAGTATCCTATCTTCCACAGAAGGAACACCATTCCTTCTCCCCCCCACCACCCCGGGTGTGCTGAACAAGGGTTGACTGAAACATTGTGACATAGAAAAGACCCAAAAGAATGAGTTTTAATATAGTCACAACAAGTGTCAAATTTCCCTATATTCTTGTGGCTGCTAAAGAATTGATTTTCTTTCAAATGGCTGCACCAGGAACTCGGGGTTGGAGCAGCTGAATGGGAACAATTATGTATAACTTGTTTCTGGGTTCTCTGTGTGGTCCCGGAAGCAGGAATGTATGCCTTCCGTTTATGTCTTCCTGTATCCCCATTTGAGCCAGAATACACAATACTCTGTGGGTAATATCCTCCAAGACACCACAAGTTTGCACGGCTTGTGGTCTGAGGGCAAAGTCTGTATCCTATCTCCCCAGGCTGTCCTTTCCTTTCCTTCTTGGCACAGAGAGACACATAAACCAGTGCCCCCCCCTACCCCCCAGCTTCTGGACTGTTCCAAGGGCCCAGAAAGCATTCTAAGGGACAGTCCATGCTAAGTGCAGAAGACATATGTGGCCACCACATCTGGCTTTCTGCTCCCACCCTAGCTTTATCTTGGACATTCTTTCAATGGCAAAACTTTAGGTCGCCTCCCACATCTTTCTGTATTCACATGGGCATCTTAAGGTTGGTAATGCACACTTAAATCAGGAAGGTTCACAGGTCTGGTGCCTCTAAAGAATAGCTCAAGAGCCTGATGCAAAATATGCCTTCAATTTACTGTAAACATCAAAGTTGCAGTTAGGATTCACTGGATCGAAGACTGTTGTCCCTCTGAATGTGAGGACCTCTGCACAAAGAACAGACTCCTAAGGTACCACTTCAGTGCCCAAAGCTTTGATGATGTTTCATGTGCTCTCTGTATCCAGATGAAGAACTGCACGGGGCCTTGGCTAGAGGGAGTAAAAGATGACTGACTACCATCAAGCCATAAAGCTCTTGGCTGTCCACAGGAAAGTTGAGAAAGCCCTGTATATTCTTCTGAGAGCTTGCGGTCAGGAAAATGGGGATCTTTCATGCTCTAGTCAACAGAGCATCTTTATGTATTTACAGGGGCTTCCAGGGAGTCCTGGTACTGCAGTACAGGTAGAGATGCCACTTTCTTGGGGATGCCAGAGAAAGAGCCCATCAAGCCAGCCTAAAGTCAGATATTAAAAGTCAAGACTCCTCAGCCATCTGAGAGCTGACTCATCAGTGTTTCTAAAAGTCATAACTAAATGTGACTCAGACATTCACATTTTATAGTTAGCAAGGGTATCCACTCTCAAATCACGATAATGAAATTCTACGGTATCAGCCAACTCTAGACTGAGGACCACTGAATTCAGTGAGTTGGGGGCAGGAGGATAGCCTGATGAAAGACTGGAAGTTGTTCAATGACACCGTCTAGCAGCTCAGCTTGCAAAGGAGTAGGTGTCTGCTGCCAAGATTCTGTGTGTAGTCAGGCTCTGCTTCAGTCTGTGACCCACACCAATGGACGTCCATACTCTTCCTTGCCTCCAGCACACATAAAGCTTAATAAACTGCAGAGAGTTACTGTGGATGATGGACAGTGGCCAGCATAAATAAAGGCAAGCATAAGGGGCCTGGGGAATTTCTTGGGCCAGAAACCCTGGCTTGGTCCTAAGACCATCTCAGGGCACAGTAAGTGCCACAAGCTGCTTTGTGCCTTAACAGTGGCTTATTTTTAATTTTTTTTTAGAAGTGAAAACTACAGCCCTGACCCCTTGGAAAGGTTTGTATATTTACTTCTCATGCAGCTAATGCATTAATGGGAATGGGGAAATAGTTTTCTTCACCTCCTCCTAGATGCCTTCTTCTTTATGCTCACCCTCAAGCATTCTGGAAGGAGCTTTCTCTGACTCTGAGTGATTTGCAATCAACTTAGATTAACCCATTTCCAATGACGTCACATCCTGCGTGAGTTGCTCCCACTTGCACGAGTTTAACTGGTCCTTACGGTGGCACTAATGTGCATCTGCTGTGTTCAGAAGAGCTGGGCTCTGGAATCGTGACATTGGGCTTATATTTTCTTCATCATGAAGCACTCTCTAATGCAACAATCTTCTCAGGCCATAGCCTTGCATGCTGCCTTTGCTTATCCCTTTCTCTCCTTCTCTAACTTAGAGGCAGAAGGAAAGTGGTGAGAGGGAGGGAGACTTGGGAGGAAAGGGGAGGTTCTTGGGTGAGTCACTGGGACAGGAATAAAATGTGTCTTATTTGAGGCTTTCATGGCAGCCAGATGTTTCCTATGGATAATTGACACTCATCACAGAACTCCGAGACCCTAAATGTCCTGGTAATTAGTCTCTTTAGGCCCTCGCTGCTCTCTAATGAGATAGTGGTAATAAAGGCATCCAATGTGGAATGGAGGTGTGGCTGAATGAAGAACAGATGCCTCATCTGAGTGACCGACCATGTCACCAGACAGAAGGGATAAGCTGTCACTTCCCTAGAATCTCCTGGGAGAAGGCCTTGTTCTTAGCAGGCTGTGACCTATGTCTTCCTGCACCGAAGGTCCTCACCCCCATGGCATTCTTTACTCCTGTGTTTGCTCAGGGTGGGGAAGGCCAGCCTTCAGCAGTGCCCACATGGGTTACCTCACCCTTCTCTGCAGATACATGATCTGAGCAGATGGGAAGCAAATTACATTCGAAAAACGGAAGTCAGGGGGCCAGGAAAGGCTCTTAAGCTCTCAAAAGTAAGGTTTCTACAAATTCCAAAGGAAATGGCAATCCTCAGCCCAGCCATGAGCATCCTTAGGCACTGCAATAGATCCCAGCACTCTTGGATTCCTGGTCCATGGAGCTTTGTTTCTTGGGAGAGTTGGTCAGTTCTGCTATCTTCAGTGACTTTGTGGGACAGAGTTAGAAAGGGAGAGGAAAGATTTCTGAAAGAGAAACTAAGATAAAGTGGAAGACATGGAAAAGAAAGTCATTTTTTGTTTCTTATATGGTTTGATCTTTTAACAAGTACAATTTTAAAAACAAGAAAAACAGAAGCACAAAGTAAACATAGACCTGTCAGTATTAGCCAGGGCTCTCTCCTTTAGTCAGTAACTACTGACTACATGCCATGGTCAGTGAGACACATACCCTGCCTGCCATTACGAAGCCATAACAAGCTAGATATGCTGCCATGCACCTATCCTGAGGCAGGAGGATTGAGATTTCAAATGCAGCCTGAACTAGTTCGGGAGATTCTATCTCAAACAAGCAAACAAACAAGAAGCAGAGAAGGAGGAGGAGGAGGGAGAAGAAACAGTTTTAGCTGGTGATAGCACTTAGAAGAAACTGCAGGTCAGACGAATGAGGAGAATTAGAATATTAGCATTCTGGAATGTATTTAATAGCAGAATGGATATGTTACTGACAGGATCGAGGAATATTGCCTATAGGGAAACCACTGCAGTAAACAATAGAAGCTGAAACAATGGAGAGGAGTGAAATAAATGAAGACTGTTTCAGACAAAGGGCTAGAGAATGTGAGCTTATGAAAGAAAAAAGAATACGGTTAGGGAGAGCCAGCCTGTGTTTGTGTTCGTGGACGTCCATGTGCCTGTGTGTGTGTGTGTGCTTGTGCCTGTGTCCATGTGCCTGTGTCCATGTCTGTGTGTAAGCATGTGCTCACCAACAATACTTAAGAAAACTTGGCAGGAAGACAGCCCAAGGGGGCAGATAGCAGGCAGATCATACAATGTGATGGTAAAGTTTCTACTAAGGAGCCAGATGTTTTTGTTAAGGCGGTAAGACTCAGCTAGAGCAATCTGGAGGTGTGGATACATTACTCTGAAATGAAAGAAAGGGTAAAGTGTGAGAGGGCCAGGCAGCCTGTGGCAGTGGTAGCTGGTGACCTCTGTGACTTGGAAGGTGAGTCACTGCGGGTGTCTCTCCCAGCAAGCACTCTTATCTTGGGCTGCCTATTTCCTAGTCCTTCATTCTAAGTCAAGTTTTCCTGTAAGTTCTGAGGAGTCAGAGAAGGTGGGAAGGGGAATGGGCATGTGCATACGATGGAGGCAGTGGGCAGCCTGGGCATGTTCAGTCGGGCCTGAGTAAAAACAGCAGGAAGGCCCTGAAAATTTTACTGAGATGGCCCTTCTTACAAGCAAATTGATGTGTTTACAGGCACTATCCTGTTTTCTATAGTTTATTGGGTTAGGATCTGTCCCTACAGGCTCCCTATGCTGTTTCCCAACATGGAATTGAACCACAATGGAGCTCTGAGGACTGTACCAGTGTGACTGAATAAGAGTATCAGACAGAGCAACCAGAAGAGCTACCAAGCCATTGTACTCACAGACAATGTGTTCAGCCTTACACATATTTATTTTTCTTCTTTGGGAACGAGGCAGGGCCTCTGCTGTGTGGCTTGTGGCTTCTGCCCTTCAGTTAAGCATGAAAGAAGGGAATGAAGGAGAGGAGGAACATCCAAGTGTTGTTAGGGAACATACATTTGTTCTTCATCTCTTTTGTCCCCAGCTATCCTCTTGGCCAGGGCAGGTAGTTGGGCAGACAGGGTGAAGTATGGGGTTGAATAAGGAATGGACTTTAAAGCTGAATACCTGAGTGTTCAGAGAGCCAAAGAGATAGAAGAAAAAAAGAACCACATGCTACATTCTGTGTGCTGATAGAGTCCCAGCAGACCAAGTGCACAGGACACATTTTCAATTGTGCTCGGGAAGGCACATGTAGAAAGATTGAATGAACCACTCACTTTAGCAGAGAAGAAATGGAACCTGGCCTTCGCAGTCAGTATGTAAGAGCTCACAGCCAAAGGCACGGACGGGGGCCAAAGTGGAAAGAATAGAACAGTCCAAAGAGAAGACTCACCCAAAGCATAGTAACGTAGCCTCTTTCCTGGGGGTATTCTGGAGTAGCCTCTCTTCTGTGAAAACAAGGGAAGTGTGTGAAGACAGCAATGGGTAGATATAGAAAGGGAGTCCCTAGTGCCACTTTGGATGGAAACCTAGCAGTTAGATTCTAGAAGGTGTGAGCTGTAGGTGACTAATCCTTAGTGACAAGCAATTGAAAGGTAAGTCCTCGGGATAATTTATTCTCATGCTTCTCCATCACCTATGCTGGCTAGAATGTGTTCCCTGGATCAACTCCCTGCCCAGCACAGAGCAGAACAGGGTTCCCTGGGGGCTTTTCAGCATGACGAATTAACATTGCCAAGGAGTTCCAGCCCTGTGACTCTTGTGACCCAGGCTAACATAAGGTTGGACAGCTCCTGACCTCAAAGGGCCAAAAAAAGCAATCATGTGGGCAGCAGCTAGGTCCAAAATCCTAGGACTTGACAGGAAAACCCCATGTGCAATCAGGAAGCCTGGTTGAATCTGGTCTGATTTAACCAGAAGTGACACCTTTGCTGAGCTCCTGAGTCAGGTGATCAGGTTCTGGCAGTGTTTGGGTGAGGACAGGGACAGAGTATGGTCACCAGTTCAAAACAGCTCTGCAAAATTCAGTGTGCCACAGCAGATCAGAGCAGGTCCAATGAGAGGCCTTTTCCCCATTGACTAAGTGCTTAATACATCTGATTTCTGACCTTATGTACTATTCAGGAGCCATCTTCCTTTTTCATGGAAGTCCTTGGACCCAAGAGTAGAGTAGCCCAGAAGTTTGTATGTAACAATAGGGAAGGTACTGGAGAGTTTTATCACCTTGGAGTTAGCTTTGTTACCTCTTTTGTTTGGTAAGGAGTATTTGTAGAGCAGCTGACTAAGGGCCTCATGGTGAAATTTGCCTCCTGATAGTCATTCACTGAAGCATGAGTTACACCCAGTATCCTCATTAATCCCCAATTGCATTCTTGTTCACACAGCACACAGTCTTATTCCTTTACTTATTCCACTCTCTAACCTGTGTCAGCTGGTTTGTACTTATCAGCCACTTGATGTTACCACTACCTCAAGAGGCCGAGTACCCCAGGGGATCCCTGCACTACCCTGAGATAGAATGATTCAGTTTTCCCAGTGGAACTGCAGCACAGAGACTGCAGGGCCCGGCAGGTCATTCCCTGAGCTGGCTGTGTAGCTGGGCGGTTCTATAAATGTTTGAGACAGTCAGAGCTCAGCAGGGGATGGGCGATGATGGAAGTAGCCTGGAGCCAAAGGAGCTGACGTTACTACAGCATGTTATGTCATGGGCAAATGATGACAAACAGTCTTCTCCGCTCGCAGGGAAGGCTTCTGCTTGCACTCTGAGTGTCCATTTGAGAATGTGGGGAAATTCTGTTGTTAGACTACCAGATGTTCCTCCAAGAGGAAAGTCTCAGCTGAAACGACACCAGACCAAGTGACCGGTGAGGAGTTTCCCGTCTCACAGCAGGTAGCTCATGACATGTGTTCTCTCCACAGGCCCGGGTGCTGTCAGTGAGGTGAGCAATGGGACATCAAGGAGGGCAGGCTGCATTTGGCTCCTCCCCCTTCTGGTCTTACACCTGCTCCTCAAATTTTGATGTGAGTGCCCCTTCCCTGCTGGGGAGAGCTGCCGCCACTGCATCTCAATACAGCACTACAACACGACAGAAGTCAGAATCAAAAGAAATTCAGAGAATCACAGCCAATGGGACAGAAATTCGAGGGAGGGGAACAAAGAATACTGTGGGAAAGGAAAAACAAAGTTTAAAAAAAAAAAAAGGAAATTTGAAACTCGCCTTGCAGATATTTAGGTACCACTGAGTTTTCTTTCTTTTCCCGGATGGGAAGAAGGCACACCTGGCTTGGACCCACCCACAGGCTGCACTGTGTGATCTCTCTGTTGCCAGGGTGGGCAAGGGCTCAGCCATTCTGCCCACTAAGGTGCCCCACCGTGGAACATTCTGGAGTTGGCCATCTCAAACTTCACCAGTCCGTAGGGACAAGCACAGAATGAGAAGCAGGGGCCCAGATGTGCCACAGAGGGCCCTTTTGGTGGGCTGCGTCATGGTGGCGTGTGTCATGAACTGTGAAATCAGAAGAAAAAAAAACGAATGAAAGAAAGAAAGAAAGAAAGAAAGAAAGAAAGAAAGAAAGAAAGAAAGAAAGAAAGAAAGAAAGAAAGAAAAGAGAGAAAGAAAACAAGACAGCCTGACAGCAACATAATCCCACAAGCGACAGTCACAAAAGATACCGTTAAAATTTTGTTTTTCCATTTTATCACATGGACATCATGGATTAATAAGGGATTCTGATTCATTATTGATTTTGTTAATTATATTTTCGGATATGAGTCTAGAACCTAGGGCAAAAATAAGAGACAAAACTAGAAACACACAGGAGAGGGTGGAAAGGGAGCGCACCTATTAAGCGTTCAAAGGGAATAGCGTACTCCCTACCTAAGTTTACAACTGCTGGACCACACACTGGGCGCTAACCACCTGGTAAGGATTTGGCAAATCCACCAGAAACACATGTGATTAAAATAAAACACCTCCACCAGCGTTACAGATTCCTCCTCATTCTGGCATTTCATGCAGACAGTGCTATGCTATCTCCACACTGCTTAAACATGGAAGGTTGATCCACACTCTCTCTTGGTTTGTTGGCCATGCTTCTTTTGATGACATATATTATACAGTATATATATATACATATATTTTTTTTGTTAGAGTTCTAGCCATTTTGTTTCTCAGCAGGGTCCTTTCTCAGACATTACTGCATGCTGTATATGGCGTTAGCTGTGTGTTGACCTTCTAAAAGATGATAGAGTTTACTGGTAATTGTGTAATCAGCTCCTTCCTTTTTTTTTTTTTCCTTGGGTTATTTACACGTCAGAGACATTTCTAAAAAGAGCGGAAAGGACAGCAGAAACAATAACTAATACCAGGCGCAGCATCTTTCCAGGTGTGGCTCTCTGAGGCGGAGGCCGCCAGCTTGGCTTCTCCATCACACCTTGGGGCATTAACGGACAGCAAGCAACTGAAACAACTAAACCAACAGTCAGTAATCACTTGCTTTAGCCCATTGTGGGAATCCCTGATGCCTTTGTGACTACTGGAGAACTTAATCCTCTTGGTTTATTTTATTTAATTTTCCACCTTTGTGTGAGTGTGTATGAAAGAGAAGAAAAATGCAGTTTTTAGGTAACCATTTTTTTCCTTCCCTGAAGTCTGGGGACCAGAGAGGCCTCGGGGAGGGGTCCTGGATGTGATGAGGGAAAGTGGGATTGGGGGATAGGGGAGGGATGGGTTGTCTCTGACTTGACATTAAAAAGTGTTCCATGTCCCTCTTCACCTGGTGTGATACTTCATTCTGTAATGGGGGAGGTGGATCTGCCTGGCTGGATGAAGGATGAGGTGGGAGCGTTGTACTGCTCCTGAGTTGGGCCCAAGCTTACCTTCCTTGGCAAGTGCTCTGATGATAGTGGGGTTTGAGCCTGCCTCCTTCCTCCTGTGGATGCAAGGAGAGTCAAAATATTGTGGGGACCTTGTCTTCAGTACCTTCAGAGAGTCTTGTTAGAAACTACCACTATCCTCATGTGCTTCAATTTCCTTCGGGGTCAAATAGTCAAGTTCAGTCACAGATGCTAGTTCCAATGCTTTCTTCATGGTGTGTATTACATAACCCCAAATCTTACAAATCACTGTTCTGAGGACTGACTGCCTTCCATGTCTGCCACCACCAATACCACCATCCAAACCTCACTTATACCCATAAATTAATAGGAAAGAAAAATTTTACTATAACAATATTCAAATAATTCTAAGACTGATTCTGGAAAGGAAACATACAGAAGATTGATTGTGAGTTGGAAATGAGGTATCAGCCGGACCAGTCAGGAATTACTGCCCTTGTGATTTCAGGGGTTAGCTTTGCCTGAAAGAAGTCAGGATATTTGAAAGGAATGCTGGCGGTTCCGGCTGCCACTAGCAACATGGGGTTACCGACTTTGTCCCTCTGTCTCCTTTTGCCCTCCCAACCCAACTGCACCCTCCACTGGTAACTCCAGGTACCAGACAACTCAACAGTCTTCCTAAGTCTCGGGAACTTGGCTCATATTGATGTTGCCCCAAACCCTGTCCCAGAGCCACTGGAAGTAAGGGGCCTTATATTTTCTTACGATGAAAAGTGTGAGTAGAAAGGCAAGACAGGAATTAAAAGCAGAGAAAGATTTATGAGCAGCAGTAGGTAAAGAGAGTGGGAGTTATTTCCTAAACAGTGCCCTCCTGCAACCAAGAAAGTATAGGGATTTTATTCTGGGAGCCTGTAGCTATTTATTCATATAGGAAAGTACTTTAGGGGTGGGCCCGGAGAAGCAAACCCATTGCTTTCTGTTACATGGTGTGTTCAGTTTTCTCTAAGCTTAAAACTCCAAGAAATAAAGGCAAAATTTTCTTAATTACAGGAAGAAATAAAGAATAAAAGTGCTGTGAGTTTTTCTCTATTCTTCCTATGCTTCTGTCCAACTGGGGGAATTGGCTTACAGATCACAGCTCACTGGAATCAAGTAGAGAAAGCGCAGGTGACTCTCTTATTTCTAAAGTGGAAGCCAGAAATCTCCCTGAAGAGGACATTTCAGAGCAGCTGCAAAGGTATGCTCTCCTAGCTTCAGTGAGACAAGAGAACAACAGCTGTCAGTCTCTGCGTGAATACATTTCTCTTTCAAATATACAACTACTAGATACCTATGAGTAGCTACCTTAATACTACTAGCTAACATTGCCAATATCCTTGTCACTAGTCATGCCTCAAATTAACCTCTGAGCACCGTGTCCTGCATTAATGTCCGTGCAGGCCAGCACCTATAAGCTGCCATGGATGCATAAGGCTTTGTTATGCTACTGTCAGCCCATGCTCCTTTTGCCCATGGTTCTTTGGCGATGAGGATATGGAAGAACATGTTCTGGAGGATCATTTCCCCATGGTTGATGGGCTCTCTAGTCAGGAGATGACCCTATGATGTCTTAGAAGTTAAAAGTTTCTTCTTTTCCGGCTAGCAGACCCATGAGGCCCAAATTGCATAGGCAACTCACCGCGAGTGGCATTCTTCCTAAAGTGGCCTTTAAGTAAATATAGAACTCATCACAGGAGGAGAAGGTGATGCGGAAAACCCTTAGGCCTTCCTTTGCTGGAAACAAAAATGTGGTAGAAATGTTTATTAGACTGTGTGGAAACAATCTCCCAGAATAGAACCCATGGTAACTTTTTGTCTTCATACTAAATAGAATATAAGTTCAAGTATGCTGGACCACTTGTAACTCAGAGATAAGTCCCCATCATACTTAAGATTAACTCCATCCACTTCAACATTAGGGGAACTCTCATAAAGGATGGGCAAATTACCATTGCAGCCTCTATGGATGCAGAGAGGATAGTTGCAGAGGAAGAAGCCCTGAACATTTTCACCGAGTAATCCTCTAGAATCTTGTTCATCTTCTAACGAAACACCTGCTCTCATCCAGCCACATAGCTGTGCAACATCTTTCTAGCCCTTATAAATGTGTCTCCCCAACGCATACTCTCCACAGTGGTCCCGAATGTCTACCTCCAAGCACGGTGAGTACTCATTCTAGGTCTGCCCTCTGATCAGTAGACTGTGCCAGTTCCGAGTTATGATCATAATCAGTGGTGCACTGGTGGTCACATTGTGTGCTGTGGCTGGTTATGATGGACGCCAGTTATTATTAGTCAAGATGCAGGTAAGTGAGCAAATGGATTAACACCAAAATCTGACTGAGTGTTAGTGCATTCCCCTGACCTCTCTCATCTTTACCCTCTACTTCCTGGACTTTGAGCTTAGATGGTAGACAGTAGCACTCATCAATCACAAGAACCTACTGTGTAGCTATGTTTGATTAAAAAGTGTAGAGTGGCCAGGCACAGTGACACACGCCTGTCATCCCAGCACTTGGGGAGGCAGAGGCAGGTGGAGCTCTGTGAGTTCGAGGCCAGCCTGGTCTATAAAGTGAATCCAGGACAGCCAAAGCTACATAGAGATACCATCTCAAAAAAAAAAAAAAAATGTAGAGTGTGAGTTCAACAAAACATGGATGATTTTGTAATATTATAATTGTTAATAAAAATGAGCTACTTGTCATTAAAAGAGAAAAAGATATGCAAAGGGAGGTTTGTGGGAAACCAGTCATCTCTTCTCATCAAACCACAGTGCCAGGTGGTAAATACTGCTGGTGAATGCACCTGTGCATGCCAATCGTTGGCCTTCAACAGATAAAGGGAATAAGGACCAATTCTTTTCAGTTTGCAGTTTTTAAAATTCTAAACAGATTTGCAGAGCTATTTGACCCAGACCTTGGACATTGGTATTTGATTATGTGGTTTGCATTTCTTTTGTTATTCCTTGGCTACCCATTCAAGCCACTCAAAGCATTTGATCTTCCTTCTCTCTATTCTTAATTCAAACATTATTTCCACGAGCACTTGACTTCATCTTCTTGTAAGGCAACAAATGCAAATTAATTTCCCCATGATTTGGGAATAAGAACTCTCCGAATCTCTCCATTTGTCTCCTAAGCTCCATGAGTCTCCCATCATGTCCATAGCCCATGATTAGAACCTTGGTAGAAAAAAAAAAACAAAAACTTATTTCTGAAGATGAGCTCTTTTAAGTATGTCTGATGCATTCTGATACAGCAGCCTTTAAGAAGGTGACCTGGTTTGGCTTTAGTTTTTGAATACTGACATTATTCACATGCAGGCCTGCAAATAACTTGAATAATTTCTTCTGGCATATGGTGAAAGTATGTGAGTTCATCTCTATAATTTGGAGGTTGTTAATATCTTTTAAGTGAATATTCATCTATCTATGCATTTATTATATATGATTAAAGTTTCCTAGAGTAGCCATAGCACTTATGCTATTCCAGTTATTTTTTTTTAATTTTGGAATTTCTGAGTAATGGTGTTGCATTTTGAATATAAAATTGAGTTGCTAATATGTAGAACTAGGCTGTAATCCAGATCCATCACTAGTTTATTGGTTCCCTTTTTCATCTTTTATAGAAGATGTTGTTACAGAAGATTGCTCTATCCAGCTTTAAAATTCAATATTAAATGACTTTGGGTTTTTATAAGATTTCTGCAAGACAAAATTCTGGAAAGCAGCCTTTTTAAAGCATGCAGATGGAGGGCGTGAATCTGGGCAAATTCTACGACCAATGCATTGTCTTTGCCTCCAGGATGGCTTCTCAGAAGGGAAAACACATAATCGTAGTAGCTATTCTGCAGATGCTTGAAGTGGTTTCTTAAGGAGATAGATCCTACAGTACTAAGAAAGGAGAATTGCTTAATAATAAACAGTAGGTTTTCCTGAAACAGCAAATGATGTTAGTCCAAAGCTGCTCTGTATAGGACACAACACAAACAGACTACAGGAGTTCTTATGCCTGGGAGGTAAGGTTCTGGAATAAGGAATGTTCTTAATGTCCCTGCTATGTGTGTGTGAGTGTGTGAGTGTGTGAAACAGAGGGAGAGGGAGGAAGGGAGAAAAACTTTAGTTACTTAATTGTTTAATTCTTTATAATATATAACATGTTATTACCATTCCTCATATTTGGGATAATAGGAAACAGGAATGAAAGAAGACGCCTCCAGAGAAGGTTTCAGTCATAATAGCTCATCTCTGGGACAACTGCTGTGTTCAAAGGCGAAGGTTACATTTGTTTGCACAGATTACATTAGATGTTTATGTATTGCTGGTTCAACTCTAAATGTAACCTAAACAAGTAGACAAAAGTTACCTTCTGGCATCCGAAATCCCTGAGCCACTTTCTGTGTCCTTCCACCCTTGACACCCATTTCCCTTAAACATAAAAGTCCCCACTTGAAAGAACATCCCCACCTCGGTGGGTATTGGCTTTGTGGAGGCATGTGAGGAGAATCTGCTCAAATTTGAGGAGCTCTTTTTACCAGCATGACGTAATGATTAGTGCTCCCCACACCTTTGGATGCGAGTCTGTACTTTAAGAATACAGAGAGAGAGAGAGAGAGAGAGAGAGAGAGAGAAACAAAGTATCCACACAAGAACAAATACACAAAATGCTTTGTCTAAGTCAGATGATTTATGGGCTACTTCAGACTGCCCACAAGCCCTAGTGTTAAGAGCCCTTACTGTGTGGTGCTGGGGAGCCGGATCAGCATTTGAATTGGACTAGAACCTGAATTTAAGTCTCCAGGAAAATCTCCAGAGGGGCTGGGAGCTGGAGAGGGAAGCCTGACATGACCAGGAGCATCTGTCACCTCAGGACTTGGGGATTGATGTGGAGACAGACCAATG